AATCGAATCAATTATTAATTTGAATTTGTATTTGATTTGATTTTCAAATTGAATATTCAAATATCAAATCGAATTGCGGAACCCTAATGAGTACTAATATCTCTGAAATTTATGAGAAAATTACCCTCACAAATTAATTGATCAAGAAATAATATTGATTTATGTTGTAATAAATTTATCCACTTTTTTTTTCAAGGAATAACATCCTAAAGTGAGTTTATACCCCCTTTGATTCTGAATTTAGAATTATTTGTTGACGTGTTTGAAAATGACAAATTTGATTGTAGATAAAAAGAAATTATATTGCCAAGAAAGTTGTCATGATGAAACTTGTTCAAAGAAGTGGGCTAACAAATCAGAGGGTTGTCATGAAGCCAGAAAAATTCTTGAAGTTATTTAAGTCTGATTTCGATAGTCTTTATGAGGAGCGATAGAGCTGGGTTACCATTAATTATATTGGCAAAATGTTATAGTTTTGAATGTATCATATTTGCTGCAAAATCGTTGAAACTATTTGTTAGTTTGCTGGTTAACATGCTGTTAGGTGTTGACTTTGGAAATTTGAATTTGTGTTTGAGGAAGATCTTAACTTTGGTAAAAAGAGCATTGCATTCTTTAGGTGATAATACAACTAATTGTGAACGATATTCAATTCTAGGAAGTAAGACCATGTTAAATATATATTTTAATTGTTTATCTGTCAATAGCTTATATTTTAGTTTTAAAATAAACTCTGCAATTTCACTTTGAATATGTTGTTTGATAAAGTTTTGTTGTATTTTGCAGAAATTCATATACCTAAATATCTAGTTGATTCTAATGGTTTTTTTGTTGAAAAGGAGATAGGTCATTTTAAAAATTCACTATATATTGAGATATTCACATCAGTTGCCTAAGTTGTTAGGATAAAAGACTTATCATGATTAATTTTCATCTAGTTGAGGTTGAAGAAAGATTGAGCAATGTCAAAGATAGCAGTCAGATTAGATAAATTATCTGTAACTCAAATTGTGTCGTCTATATATGCTGAGTTAGGAATATAAGCAGACATTTCTGAAGTTTCTGTTTTGATGATGTCCGGTTTCCATGACACTGACATTTTGTAACCTAAAGAAGAGTTTCGAATTTGTGACAGAAGGAGATCATAATAAATTACCCAAAGTAGAGGAGAGATAACTTCTTCTTGATCAATTCCAACAATGATATCATAGGGATCAGTGTTGCCGTATGCTATGAAAACAGAATTTTTTCTGTTTAAAAAGTGATTAGTGATGACATTAGTGAATGGTAAGGGCATTTTAATCATTCCATAGCTTTTTGTAACCTGAAAATATTGACTTTATCATAGGCTTTTGACATATCTTGAAAGAGCATGTATAAATTAGAATGACTGGACTTGTTCATTTTATTATTTAAGCGGTGGAATTCAAGAATATTATTGATAATATGTAATGGTTCCATTGTTGATTGATGTGGTAAACCTGCAAAATTAAGGTCTTTTAGAATGTTGTGTTTAATAAATACGTCCTGTAGTCTTTGATTTAGAATTTTAACTAAAGCTTTTCTAACAGTGTTTAGAAGCGTGATAGGACGTGTATTGTCTAGATTGCAATTCCAAGCTTTAGGTTTTGGAATTAGATATACATATGCTAAATTGTATTGTGTAGGTGTCTGTGAACTAACAAAACAGGCACAGATAATAGTATATAGAAATTTATTCATTTTTGGACCTAGTTTTTTCAACATTTCATTTGATATTTGAGAAGGGCTAGGAGCTTTATTATCAGGAAGATGTTTCAGAATAGACAACCATTCATCATATGTAGGGATGTCTATGATTCCTTTATAAAAATCATCACAAATAGTATCAATAGGTTCGTAGTAGCGATACCATTCATTCCAATTTGGGTTATAATTGTTTGAGTGTTGGTCTGTGACAATTCTATTTGTAGAACCAGCGATGGTTTGAAAATGCATTGCAGTTAAAGCTTTGATATCCTCTGGAACAAGTGTGAGATATTGTGATAGAGTATTTGCATTGACCATTACTTTATCGAGAATAATGTTTTTTCTATTTCTTTCAAGACATGAATCTATCATTTTAGTGGGAGAGTCTTTGAAATTCTCGTTCCTTTGTTTGATAAATTCTAAAATTCTTTCATTGTTTTCAGTTTGAGAGACAATACATTGTTTCAATTGCATAGGTTTAATGATATCTATTTTTAGTTCATGTAAATAATTTAGTGTACGCTTATTTGAGAAATGATCATCAATCGAAGATGTAGAAATGAAATTTTGAGAAGCTAGTATTAGCAAAGTTTTATTTTCATCGGGTGAGATTGGAAAGGGGGAGGTTGAAAAATATGGATGGAGAAGGGCTTTTTTAACTTGTAATAAATTTTGTATAACTTATTGATTTGTTTGTGAATAGAAGAGTTTGATGTCGTAAATAAAGAATTATGATGGGAAGTATCTTTTGTTTAGGTATATGCTTTTTTGCGGATGTTAAGACAGTATTAGTGAAGAAATCCCAGGCAGCATTAAGGGCATTCTGAGAAATACAAAGATCCTGTGTTGTGCTGTTTTTAAAATTTGGGTCAGTCTTAAGGATAAGATCCATTTTATACGCAAAGAGATCCTATTGGAAAAGAGTGGTCTTATTAAAAAGGAAATTATTCTTTGTAACTTTGTATTGTTTGAAATAAGCAATTGATGACTGATTAAAAAAATTATTTTTGTAAAGTGAGATTAAAAGAGGATAATGATCAGTTGAGTATAAAAAGAAAGAATCGTTAAGTATATCAAAAGAAACAAGATCATGTACTAAGGAAGATGAGACAAATATATAATCAATGTGAGAGGAGTACGAGTTAGAGGTTGATTTGAAAGTGAGAGGAAAAGATGGGTTGAAAGGAGCAATAGTGTGAAGGAATCCAAGGTTGATGATATTATGTAAGAAGCTTTGTAAAATTCGTTTGTATTTTGATTTATAGGTTCTTGAAATATTTATATTAAAATCATCCATGAGAATAATATGAAAGTTGTTTCTTGACTTTGAACTAAAAGATCCATTAATTTGATTTGAATTTGAATTCTCAGTTGAAAAGATTTTTGTCATGAAAACTAACAAAAAGATAAATTTGAAAGACGTGTGGTTTGAATTTGTTTTTGAATTGAAAGTCTAAATATAGTATTCAGTTGAAAAAGCCTTGATTAAAAAGATATGAACATAGACTATTTCTAATGATTAAGCCTACTCCTTGACAATTCTGAAAATGATTGGAACTATAGAAAAAAATTTATAATGCTTATTGTGAAAATTATGATTAAGATTTCTAGCTTATAGGTAGGTAAGGTGAGTTTCGCTTAATCCAAGAATATCCAAATTAAAGTTAATAAAAAATTGTTCTACTTGTTAGAGATGATCTGAGAAAACACAGCTTCTTACATTATGGGTTGCAATTGAAAGCAAGTGAGGATTGTTAATATATGATAATAAATTTGCATTAGTATTATTATTATTATTAATTGAAATCGTTGAAAACATTCCATTATTATTTGTGAGATGAGATTGTGATATCATTTGGGAATGGTGAACGATCGAATCATAGGGCTGATGGTGATGATCAAATTTCTCATTTCTGTTTTAATATCATTAACTAAAATTTCGACTAAGTTAATTCATTGGAGATTATCATTGGTTGAAATTTTTGGGTTATTATTTTCGTTGTTGGTGACAATTGATTGTATATTTTCTATAGGTGGGGTAATATTTTCCGACATTAAAAATTCAACATGCGATGGGAAAACATATTTAGGATCAGTAGCATGATTCACATCATATTCAATATTGTGCATTACTTCAAGACGATTTAGACGAAAACCAATGTCTTCTTCATTTTGTTAGATTTCAAGTAGTTCATTTTTAATGAACATGATTTCATCACTAATTGTAAATAGTTTGTTATCGATATTATTAAGTCTTTCCTGAACTAATTTTAACATATCGACAAGATTTGGGTTAGCAGGTGACGATTAGTTATTGTTTTGATTGGAATTCTTATTTTTAAGCGTGTCAGCATAGGAAGTATTATTATTGGATCTGTTAGAATTGTTATTTCTTGGCGGGCAGTATGGTTCAGGTTTAAAGTGATCATAGAATGATCTGTAGGGGTTGGCTATTTTATGATTGTTATATTCTTTAAATTCATGACTGGGCGTATCACAGCTTCGATAATGTTTGGTAGCAGGTTCCATCCAATAGAGAGTCTTTCCTTTAAATTTTTGTGATTGTGCAACTGCAGTATCTAGGTCATCGAGGGTGGTAAAATTAATAAAAATGTAAGGTCTTAATCAATATTATTGATTACGTGAAATAAAACATGATCTGGCTTTGATGTGTGTGAGAAAATCACTAAGTTGTTGTTGGTCTGTATTAAAAGGCAGGCTTGTGAGTTTTAACTCAAATTGTTAATGTAGCACCGTTTATAAAAGGTTAAGATCTGTTGGTTCCACTCTGAGTGCAGTGTCTAAAAATTGGATGGATTAGTGTTCGTCATAAATTGGTTTGATGATATTAGCATTTTTGAATACAACAAATGCGGTCTGCCATGGGCCTTGGATAATCATTAAAATCTGGTGATCATTCTATATTTAGAGAAGAAATTTCGTAGTATATCAGATCTGACGAATAAGGGAATGTCTGACACTTTAAGGGTCCTTCATTTTTCAGCGTCTTGTTTAATCTTTTTTTCTGCAGGGTCAATGATGGTAAAAATCAGATTATGTTGTGTCTCCTGTACTTTTGTAATAGTATGTGTTAATTTTTCTATTGATCTGAAATAAACTGAGAACTTTCTGAATTTGAAAACGTAAGTGGAGCCTTGATAACCATTAAAGCGTACGAAAAGGAAATTGATAAATATGCATTTTTTGGCTATGGATTTTTTTGTATATCTGACGTGTTATCTATCACGTAAAAATGCGTAGGAGCAGTAAGTATATTGAAAGAAACCCCCTGAGTTTCTTGGTCACGTATTTCTTCATTTTGCCCAAGTTCTTCAGACCAAGTTTGTTGTTGTTTACCTTTGGTATTAGTAGGAAGAATATAATCAAAACTGGTGTTAACGAACATATTGTTCTTGTTGTTATTGGCATGCATAGTGTCATTGGTTGTTTGCTTTGGTAAAATTAGATGTAAAGGGGAAGCTTCAGAGATAGCGTTAACTTCCATTTCTAAAGGTATCTCAGTTAGAGGAACATTATTATTAGTTGTTTAGTTTGGTTGAATAAAATTACTGTTGTTTGGAACTTCACTCATTGTAATATTATTAGTATTGGGGTCTACTATATTTTCGTTAAAAAGTGTTGAAGTTTTTTGTTTTTTTGACAAAGAAAGTTTTTCGTTAGATTCAGTTATTTTTGAAGAAGAACTACTGATAGTAGAGTCAATAACTGGGGTGTTACGTTTGTTTCGTTGATATATTTATTATTTTGTTGTTTAGAAGAAGTCGTTGTAATAACTGGCATGATTTTTATTTTTTTTGTCAATCTTTTTTAATGAACTAAACGTTTGAAAGAAAGAGTTTTTTTTTGAATTTGAATTTGGATCATCCATCTCAAGATATTTGCGATTGTATTTCAGAATCTGAACTCCTTTATTTAAAGTAGAATTTATTGATTTATAATTTCAGCCGATAATACAATTGCGAGTATCTTGTGATTAGATAATCTGAAATCAATAATTGTTTCGAGAAATTGAATGGTAGTTATTTTATACAGATCAGAGCGATATTGACCGAGATCGTATATTTTTGTTTTTTTTTTTTCTAAATATGAAAAATTATGTGATATGATGTCATTTTGACTATTTCACGACTTTAGCCTCCAATAGTTGAAATGATTTTGACCATTTTGATCATTTAAGATATCCGAAATGATCCATTTCGATTTCATGTATATATACAATATAAAAAGATCAACATTTAATTTTATCACCTCATGATATAACAAATGTTCATTATGCTAGCATAGAGAAAGTTTGTTTTTATTGGTTAACGATTTTAGGGAGACAGTCTAGATTGCGATCCAATCACAAGACCGTAAATTTGTAAATTTTGTAATCATGTGAGACCCTTTTAATATAGTATAGAGACAATTCTATATATTACGTTTATATTACATTATTATTACACAACTATTTATATGTATTTTATAATAAAGTTCAATTGAAATTTGATGATCTATATACTAAGTATAAAAATAACTAATCCATAATTAATGAAACTTTACGAATATACACTTCAAAACGTTTTTTTTCTGTTAGTTTCATTAGATCCAATTGGATCTAATTCTCTAAAAAGTTGTATTAGAAGACATATTTCATAGTATTTGTAATAATAGACTGAAAGTAAAGGCACTGGACGTTTGAAATTTCTAAATTATACTTTTAAATAATAATTTATTGAAAAACAATAAAACATTTTACGAGAGTATTTGGAACTGGCTTTATTATTAAAACAGGTTTTTATTATTTATTCATATCATAATATCTTTTTCAATAGTATACTATCAAGTATTAATACAATTAAGTACACTTAAGAATTGTGTGTATACTTCTTGCTTTTTATCTATTTCTATTTCATCTTTTGTTTCATTTTCTTCCTTAGGAACTTCATCTTTTTCTTCTGAAGTAAAAACACTTGGACCTTTTTCTAATCGATCTAAAAAGAATTTACATTGCTATAGATTTCACATTTTTAATATTTCATACAATGACGACAACTATATTTCATTGTTTAATAACATTTAAAATGATACTCATGCCTACAGATTAATACTTCACTATTATTAAGTTTTTTTCAACAATAACCACATTCATTTGGTGATGAAGGTATATTAGCATTATATCCTGTTGGAAGGCATTTTGAATCAACTGTTTCTTCTAAGATAATTAGTTCATAATATGTTTTTTTTTTATTTTTTTTGATTTACCTTTTCCTCGATTTTTAAAAATATCATAAAAATAATCTATTAAAAATAATGATGTTTTTTCTGTCAATAGGTTTAATAATAGTGGTGTATAAGAATGTGTTTTTATTTTTTCAAAGGTATCTTTAAGTTCACAGTGATTTCTATTGTCTAATGAAATTATATAAAGAAAAGAACATAATAAAAACAAATACATATCAATCACATAAGCTTGTTTTATGATATTATCGACATCACTATTTACAGAGGTATATCTTCATATTTTACTATGCATATTTTCAACATAATAATAATTAAAATTAACCAAAAATAACTTTATAGCTTCTGATTTATATCTTGCCAATAAAAAATATCTGATAAAAAAGTTAAGGGAACTTTGTTGTAATTATGTCATTTCCATTGATGAGCAAATATTCAGATCTGAAAAATAGTTTCCACATACTCATCAAATGATTCAGATCGGAAAAGAATAGTATAAATATCCAATGTTATCAGAATTATATTATTTAACAAATCAATAGTCATATGATATTCTACATCTTTACAGATATGTTCAAATTTTGTTATAATTACATCTCTGATTTTTCACATTCATTATAAGCTAAATCAAGAAGTAAGTTAATTCACCATGACCTTAGCTTTTTTGCTAACACTTTTTTCTTTTTAAATACATAATGAAATAACTTTTGAAAAAAAAAATGTAATATATAATTAATATATGTTCTCTACTATTTAAACATTAATTTTGGTTACGATTGAAAAAAATTTGAGAAACATGAAGAGAACCCAAAATTGGAATAAATGAATTGATTTCAGCTGGTATAGAATATTGTGAATCTGATTTTTGTAAATGTGTTAATGCTTTTCGAATAAACAACTGCCCAGGCCAATCAGCTACTAATAGTGCAATTCGATTATGTAAATGCCTAGTCTCATTATTAATATCTAAGATCATTTGTAATGCCATAATATAAACATTCATTGAATGCAAATTCTTTTCCTAAAGTCCAATTAATCTTACACCTTTCATTGAATGCTCTTCTTTACGTTTAGCAATTGCATCATCATAGCAATGCACTGTCAATAATTCAATCTGATCAAAGACATTAAAATCTAATTATCTATAGGTAAGCCATCTTTTTTTATGATTAGTATAAGAAATATCAAAGATCCCTTGATATTTATGTATTAATCTAAAACAAATATTACTTGCATCAATATTTGCTAGGTTATGAATAGATTGATTATTAAAGATAATAGGTATTGGTGCGTAAGCTGAAACTTGCTTACAGATACAAGTAGCTATATGTTTAGCAGTAGATAAGGTCACAATATCTGGTCTTCTTTTTTCATGAATGTCATGATAATCATCCAAATTATAAACATATAAATGATTACTTTAATTTTTAATTAATTTAATTAATAATAAGTTTTTTAAAAAAATTTTACAAATTTTATTAATATATTTACTTACATATTTAGATAAATACTCTGATTTTTAATGGATGCTCCTTTGCAAGTTTCCTTTTAAAATTATTAACCGTTGTATAACAAGCTGAAAATCCAATATTACTCACTGTATCAATTGCAGTACGTGTTGCTCCTGATGCTGATAAGTATAACCCAATTTCTAACTTAAAATTAGAGACAAATTTGTTTCTCATTCCCGCCATAATGTAACATAAACTCACGATTGATTTCTTTGCTTCAGCGTTATTATATTCAGATCTGTTATTAGGAATTAATGCCTTGACCATTTTATTAAAAAAACCTTGTAAAGATGGATTAGCTTTCTCAATCAATTGCTGGAAACGAGTAGGATCAAGCTCTATAGCATTATCACGTTGATCATATAAAACCTTTGTAAGCATAGTAACTTGTTCGATAAATGATTCTATAAAAAAATTAATTAGTTTATAATATAATATTTTATAAGCACATGTAATAATACTTACTATATACTACTATATTTTCTTTATTTACTTCAATAAGAGGAGGCGTTTCTGATTTTTGATGACGATCAGATTCAACAATATTCATATAATGAATATGGCATAATTGTTGACCAAGTTTCAAATACTTATATATTTCATTTTTTCTTTGAATTTTATTGTATGCTAAAAAAAGTAATTTGGCGAAAACGGTCTGATTGATTATTACAATTTTCTATTGACGTGGCATGTTTACATTTTCGAGAATTTTTCATCTAATCTCTAATCACGTGAAATTTAAGTTGACCAATTAAATTACTGTCGATCATCACTGTATTATCACGAAAATCAGCCAATAAAAACAAACTTTCCCTATGCTGTTAAATATCAATTGTTGTATCTAAAAATCACTATTTACACTGCGACATAGCCATGCTCACTTTCGGTTTAACTAAACGCCTGCCTACCGGCGGTAATTGTATCTCAAATACACTTAGAACTGGTCGCGTTGTTCGTTATATAACACATGTTACTCGTGAAAAGATCTTTTTCAATCGGAAACGAGAACTTGTTAAGTTTAAAAATGCATTTAGTGCCGATCCGAGGCTTCATGTCATTCTAGGTCCTCCTAGTACTGGGAAAACCGCACTGATCCATGAGGTAACGAGTAAAGGCGATTTCAACCCTCTTTTTATCAAC